TAGGGAGAGTCAAGGAGATCATGGAGCAGGACAGAATAGGGGTAACAGGTAAACTTGTCAAGAGCTCAGGGCGATCTAGATTCAAATAACTTCAACGTACTCTTTAGAGATTTCTGGAAGTTAGGCGGTCGGAACTTGAAAGCTGCAAAAGGTTAGGCAAATCTGATGGACAACGTAGAGAAACGAGTACGGACGGATCGAAGCTCTGTGACGAGACTTTCTTAAGAAGCTGATGTATTAAAATTCTCCCCGACATTCTGGCCGTGATCTTCAGTGACAGGTCAGGTCGCTCGAAAGGTAATTCAAATGTTGTCCGGTCAGTCGAATCAGCGCAATTGCTATGAAAGCAAACTTTGCCGGTCCGCATATGATGGAATAGCAGACACATGTGCGGATGCTGATGCATGGCAATTGCAATGACAGAACTGTTCCGCCTTTGGCAACGGCGGCATCAGCGCCCCTCGACTTCGAGCCCTGTGGGCAAGGCGCTGCGAGCGAACCTCTGGTTCCGCCGGAAGACGCGCCCGATCCTTCCGCTGTTGCATCCGAAGCCGACTCGGCAGCGGACCCCGGGCAAGGCTTCGAGTCTTCGATGTACGAGATCGACCTCGAGGCTGATCCATTAGCTAACCCAAGCAGCTCAGCGGGAGCGACGGAGTGGGGTTTCGAGTTCTTCTCTCGATTCACGCCCCGCGTTGCGGAAGCCCCTAGTGCGGAGCAGATAACCCACGACCTTAAGTCCCTGCTCACGGAGATAGAAGCCGGGCCAGAAGTTAACGCAATGCAGGAGAGCGAGCTGTCAGCCTGGAGTCAGCCTAAAGTCGGTCGAGGAGAGGGTGCACCCGGTAGACGGCTTCGTAGCAAGTTCCTTTGCCCGGCACCTCTCCGCTTGGGAAGAACTTCTCAAGGACTCCGCAAGGCCGACTTCGAAACCAGTTCTGTCCTGGTTGCGGAACGGCATCAAACCGTCTTTCGTAGGTACTGCCCAGTGCGACCCCAAAAAGCTAGAAAGGGTACGGCTAATGCTGAGGAGAACGGTAGGGGAGTCAAAAGTCGAAGAATGGCTCTCGGGAGAAGTGCCGCACCCGGTGGAGTTTCCTAACCACCGTTCGTTTTACGAGAACGCCGAGTTTGGGATCAAGACGGTCGGGGAGATGTTAGTCAACAATTCGGTCGCGCTTTGCGCACCCAGCCAGCGTAAACCAAAGGTCGTTAACCCATTGGGGGTTGTCAATCTTCCCCAAGGCCGCCTCGTCCTCGACGCGGGCTACATCAACGCGTTCTCCAAGCAGCACCCGTTCAAATACGAAACCCTGCGCGACATCTTAACCTTCCTGGCAGCCAACGGCTTTTTCTCGACGTGGGACTTCAAGGCGGGTTATTACCACGTCCTAATCCACCCCCGTTACCGGACGTACTTCGGCTTCAAAATCGGAAGTGCCTACTTCCAGTACAATGCTATGTGCTTCCGATGGTCCGAAGCATGCTATGCCTACACGCTCATCACCCAAGAAGCCGCCAAGGAGCTCCGTGTCCGGGGTGTCCCCGTGTCTAGTTACCTAGACGACGGCTTAACCGGCGACTTGAGCTTTGCTCTCTGCCTCTGGTTGATCGTCATGATCATCCGCTTCCTTACCCTGTTGGGGGCGGTCTTTAGCCTGCCCAAGTGCCAGTTCTGGCCGTCCCAAACCGGCAACTGGCTCGGGTTTGTTGTAGACACCCAAGCCCAGCAGTTCCGCGTCTCGGAGGCGAAGTTAGCCAAGGTAAAAGTGGTCCTGTCGGAGCTCATCGACTCGGCTGACGTCAGCACCCGTCTCCTCGCGAAGGTCGCAGGGAAGATCATCGCTATGGGGCCCGCGGTACTGCCGGCCTCCTTATACAGTCGCCCCCTGTTCCAGGCGATGCAGGGCCGTCTCTCTTGGGACTCAATTTTCCCAACGCCTATGGCGGCCAAGAACGCAGCCCGTCTCTTCTTGGAGCGGCTAGATAGCTGGAACGGAAGGCGTTGGTTTCCGCGCCGCGTCCTGATTGAAGCAGCTTCGGACGCCTCGGTGTGACGATTCGAGTCTATGAATCTTCATATCGAACTCGTCCCAGTATATTGTCCGCGCGCGTATGGCGTATCTGCTATCTGCTTTGCTCGATATCGTA